CAACGCACTTGCCAACCTCCAGATTTGAACCTATACTGATAAGCGGACGCTCACGTTTAAAAAAATGAAGACTACAGGGGAAAAACGACGGTAGTCACTAACTGAAAATCGCGAGGGTACCAACTTTGATCGCTTATTGACTCATAACTGAATTTCTGTTCAACTGTTAGTTGATTATTGTTGTTAGATTTCCCATTCAACAAAACTTTATAATAGACCACAAGTCGAACAACAAATACGATGTTATGAGTCCTCAAGCTTTTAAAATTTGCAACCTCACGCGCAGTCTTCAAATATAAGTGGAATTTTAAAGCAGGACCCAAGTTCATAGGCATCTTAAAACGATAAACGGACATCAAAGGTTGGGACATCCTGACCCCACTTTGCTGTTGGGAGTGCTGAATGCTTCCTTCGTGCTTGTTTACTTACAGTAGTACCGTCGCGAATTTATAGTCGCCAGGCCTTTCTAAGCCCTCACTTCCGCTGGTGACTTAAAAATTGCGGTCACCGACGCAACCAGGAACAATAAACATAATAAAACAACGAACAGACACACTGCACTGAAGTAAATACCACAGGAAGTCACTCTGTATCATAGCTGAATGGTTGATGGACCTCTTTGAATGTTTAAAGCATGTTTCTTGAGCTGCCAAGCTTTTCCAAAAAAATAAATTTAAAGCTCTACCACGGCTTCATTGTTCTAAACTGGTGTGGTACTTGAGGGGTTTTCACTATATTATGAGCCTTCGGTACTGGTAGTGAATATAAAGGTCTGAAGAGTGTCTGGTTTCTTTAAAATAAATGTGACGCAACGGTCAACGCAACCAGATAGAATACGATTATCTTCACAGATATGTCAGCAAGAAAAGAATGTTACGCATTATATTCTCACACATCTGCCAGCAAGAAAAGAAAGTTGCACATAATTTCCTTCACAGGTTTGGATGCTAGGAGAGAAAGTTATACATTTTCTTCACAGATATGTCAACAAGAAAATATAGTTACATACTAGATCTATATTCTTACGCATCTGTCAGCTATAAAAGAAAGTTGCACATAATTTACCTCACGGATCTTGAAGCTAGGAGATAAAGTTATACATTTTCTTCACAGATATGTCAACAAGAAAATATTAAAGTAACACACTGTATTCTCACACATCTTTCAGCTGGAAATGAAAGTTGCACATAATTTTCCTCACACGCTAGACAAAGAAGTTGCACATTTTCGTGACAGATCTGTCGACGCTCCTGTTGAACTTTCCCTTTTTGAGAGTAAGCACCGAGAGTGAGCGCTGAGAGTGAGCGGAGAGAGTGAGCGGAGAGAGCACGCACATTTTCCTCACACCCGATCTCAGCGCGGTCCATTGATCTATAGCTCACGTGCAGTTGGATTCACACTTGTTCGACGAATCGGTTCTGTCGAAATGATTCGAAACAGAAGGAAAAAAATGACGAGTTAGTGCGTATTGAAAGAAACAGTTTTGATTATGGTAAATTATTAACTCTAAGTAACAGACACATACACATGTATATATAATATGTTATATATATATAAATGTATATTATGTATACAAAGTGGGTGTTTGGCGGGTGCTCTGGTGTGGTTTGCTTCTTCTTTCCTATCAAATTTCTATCGTCCTTATCTCCCCCTTCTTCTTTTTATGTTTGTTACTCTCTTGCAACACTTCTAATCTTCTGGCGCTCATATGACCGTATGCAGTTGCGAGTGCCGTAAAACCTCTACTAAAACTAACTATGTATCAGATATTATCTACCCGCGTGTTTCCGCCATGACGACGTTGAGTTGAGAGGTTAGATCATCATCAAACTAAACAATTATGCTACTTTCAACCACCACTACAGTTGCGACTTCATAGTGATAGTTGGCTACCTCAGAATCACAAAGTTGTATCTGACATTTTTTACCGTTTTCAGCTGCTTATAAGACCAAGAGCTCAGAAACGAAATGTTGCATCTGCTCTTTCAAAATCGTAAGATTATTCAGAGTAGTTATCAAGTTATTTAAAATCATGAATTCGACAAAGCTTGACATGTTGTGAAGCTCCAAATTTTTGGCGTCAAATTTCTCAAAGCTAAGTAGTGAGCAGATAGAACTTAGTAATTTTGAGGTAGCGAGTTTTGCTGTGGCTCCGTTTAAAAAAAAAATATCAACTTAATAATAATTAACATAAACACACTCACACACACACACACACATACACGCACACACATACAACATATACACACTCACAAACCTTTTCCCAATGGTGCACGTAAAGATGCAGATACAATACCTCATAAATGCAGGAATAATACGCAATAATTATCATAAACTATTTAGCCAATCCACTGACCATTGCCACTCGCCACTGTGCAGTTTCTTATGAATTTTTAGCAAGAGTTGTTGTGTGTTGCTCAAGGATGCAACGAAGTAAGTACTCACCTACACGCGGTGTCGCTTACACGCACTTGACATTGTGACCTTACTATTCTAATTATAACATCCTTAGCCTAAGCTCACTAACCAATTCTAATTTAGTTTTTGTAACAGGTTTACGGCACTTGCATTATAATAATGTCATATAAGTGCCGAGGTTTAGATGAGTTACAAGAGAGTAACAAACACAAAAATTAAGAGAGATAAAGAGGACACATTTTGTCTTAAAAGTAGGAAAGAATGAGCAAACCGCACCAACGCACTTGCCAACCTCCAGATTTGAACCTATACTGATAAGCGGACGCTCACGTTTAAAAAAATGAAGACTACAGGGGAAAAACGACGGTAGTCACTAACTGAAAATCGCGAGGGTACCAACTTTGATCGCTTATTGACTCATAACTGAATTTCTGTTCAACTGTTAGTTGATTATTGTTGTTAGATTTCCCATTCAACAAAACTTTATAATAGACCACAAGTCGAACAACAAATACGATGTTATGAGTCCTCAAGCT